CCTTCCTTCCTTCCTTCCTTCCTTCCTTCCTTCCTTCCTTCCTTCCTTCCTTCCTTCCTTCCTGGCAGGGCCTTGCTATGTTGCACAGGCTAATCTCAAAATCCTGTTCTCAAGAAGCAATCCTCCTGCCTTGGCCTCTCAAAGTGTTAGAATTATATAAGCCACGCTGCCTGGCCTCCATTTTTTTGTCAGTCAATATTGGCAGGTTGTATGTGTCCAGGAATTTACGTATTTCCTCTACCTTTTTCAGTTTGTTAGTGTATAATTGTTTATAATAGCCTCTGATGATCTTTTGTGTTTCTGTAATATCATTTGTAATATATCCTTTCTTATTTCTGATTTTGTTTATTTGGGTCTTCTCCTTGATTAGTCTAAATAGGAGTTTATCAATCTTTTTATCTTTTGACAAAACAAACTTTTCATTTCATTGATCCTTTGCAGTTTTTTTTTTTTTTTTTTTTTTTTTTTTTTTTTTTTTTTTTTTTTTTTTTTTTTTCTCTTTTCTTCTACTAATTTTGGGTTGCGTTTGTTCTTGTTTTGCTAGTTCCTTGAGGAGCATTGTTAGGTTGTTTATTTGAAATCTTTCTACTTTTTGATGTAGGTATCTGTTGCTGTAAACTTCCCTCTTAATGCTGCTTTTACTGTATTCCGTAGGTTTTGATATGTTGTGCTTCAGTTTTTATCTGTTTCAAGACATTTTTTGATTTCCTCATTAATTTCTTTCTTGACCCAATTGTCATTTCAGAGCATGTTGTTTAATTTCCATGTGCTTTTACTGGTTCCAAAGTTCCTTTTCTTATTGATTTCTAGTTTTATTCCATTGTGATCTGAAAAGATACTTGATATGATTTTAATTTTTAAAAACTTGTTGAGTCATTTTTGGCCTAACATATTATCTATCCTTGAGAATATACTATGTGCTAATAAGAAGAATGTGTATTTTGTAGCTATTATATAAACACATTGTAAATGTGTATTAGGTTCATTTGGTCTAAAGCACAGCTTAAGTACAATGTTTCTTTATTAATTTTGGTCTAGATAATCTGTG